TTTTGATTCTATTGCTTTCTTATCAAATAAGAATTTTTCATGTTCTGTAGTTGGGAGTTGTGTTAAATTCTTATAATATATAGCTTTTATTTTAGATTTTTCTTATTTTAATTTTAATATTTGTTTTTCTTGACTACTTATCAACTTTTTTGGTCTGTTTTCTTCTTGTTGATCTGATATTAATAATACATCTTCTATTTGTTGGTGTAATATATACATTATATTATAATATTTTTCAAGTTTTCTTTTAAATTTTTCTACATTGAACATTAATTTTTCATAATAATTCTTAATTTTCTCTACAATAGAGCATAATTTATTCTTTTTCAAATTCTTTAATAATTTTTTCATAAATGTATTCGTCTATTATAGATCATATTATTAATTTTTCTAATATTTGTTCTCCTATTTCTCTAGGTAATTCTTTGGTTATAATTAATGTTATTATTTTTAACTTTTTAGAAAATGGTTCTATTGTATAGTTTCCTTGATATAGTACCAGTCTGTTTTGGTAATTGTAACGTTTATAACTTTTTTATTTTTATTCATACATATTTATCTCTTTTTTAATTAGGTTATACATATTTTCTTCATAGGTTCTTAATATTATTTCATAAGTATACATATCTTTAACAATTCCTAATTTTATTGTAGGAAATTTTTCAAGTGCTTTTAGTGTAATTTTTATTCTTTCATTACATAATATTGGTTTTACAATTATTATATTAAAATTTTCTCTTATTATTTTATATCTATTACCAAAATCTGCGATTTCCATTATCTTATTTATTTACTTTAGTAATTGTAATTTTCATGATTTTTATAGTTTTTATAGATTCTATGGCTCTGATACCAAATGAGGGGGGCTACTATGAGCGAACAAAAATCAAATAATCTTAAAATCTAATGTTCAAAAATATTTATTCAGAAATTCTAGTATATTCTAAGAATTCTATTAATTCTTCTAGACTTAGTTTATCATTTATTATAGATATATAAAATCTTAATGTTAATCTAAATTTTAGATCTTTATATACTTGAGGTAATCTGTTTGTAATAAGTTTTCTCATTTATAATGATTTAAGTAAGTCTTCAAAATCTAATAATATTTGAGAATTCATAATATCAAGATCTGTTATTATATCTATATTTGGGTTAAAAGGTATATCATATTTAAAAATATTCTTTTTTCTTTTTTCCAATTTATCAATAATATTTTGCATGTC